TTACAAAATGGGTAGAGACTGAACCTCTGGCAACAGTTTTGGAGCCTAAGCTCAGATCATTCATATGGAAGTCCATCATCTACAGGTTTGGAATACCGAAAGTCCTCATCACAGATAACAGAAGGCAATTTGACAATCCACAGTTCAGGAGCTTTTGTGCCAACCATAGGATTGATCATCGCTTGACCTCGGTATCACACCCACAAAGTAATGGGCTTGCTGAAGTAACTAATCTAGTCATACTGCAGGACCTTCGAACAAGAATAGGGAATGCCAAAGGTGACTAGCCTGATGAACTCATTTCCATACTATGGGCATAAAGGACTTCGCATAAGACAGCGACTGGCGAGACACCCTTCATACTGGCCTTTAGACTGGAAGCTACCATTCCAATTGAGGTCAACCTCTCCACAATAAGGAAGCTTGAGATAAATATGGAGGGACAAACCACTGAACACCTTGACTTACTTGAAGAAGTAAGAGAACAAGCCTCACTCAAAGCCTCAAGTTATCAGAGTAGAATAACAAAGCACTTCAACAAAAAGGTGCACACAAGAAGGTTCAGAGCTGGGGATCTTGTCCTTAGAAAAGCAGAAGCTGCCGGACACCCACTAGGGAAGCTCGAACCAACATGGAAAGGAACCTTTGAAGTCATAAGAAAACTAAAAGGTAGAGCTTACAGCCTTCAGAGACACATCGGGGAAACTGCTTCCAAGGAAATGGAATGCGACAACTTAAAAATTTATTACAAGTAACTAGCTACAAATATAATTTTTTAGGCTTGCATGCCCACATTATGTTTGTTTTCTTTCGTTTTCACTTTTCAGGCTCTAACGCCCAAACAGTTCATGCTCCAATAAGCTTGGCTATCATAGCCCTTGAGCAGTTTTATAATTTATGAATTTTTCCTTTACATGATTGCTTCTTTGTATTAATTAAAGTAGAGTAAGGTCGTGCTTCGTGCATGCAGCTAAGTCTTAATCAAGTTAGCATAAGGCCGTGCTCCGCGCATGCAGCTAACACTTAACCAACTTAGCATAAGGCTGTGCTCCGCACATGCAGCTAACACTTAACCAAGTTAACACAAGGTCGTGCCCCATGCATGTAGCCAACATTAGACCAATAGAACCAAACACAACAAGTCAGGGATCACCAGATTCCGACCTCTTCAATCCCAGAATGCCCTCATAACAAAGGATATCAAGATCGAGGTCGAGGTCGAGGTCGAGGTCGGGATCGGGGTCGGGGTATGAAATAATGTTTACCATACCAGACCATACCCGATCTTATTCACAAAGGAAAGAAGTTGTTTAAATTACAATGGACAAGCCCGAGCTTATCCTTTTAAATCATCAGCGACCCAATGGTCGCCCTTCGATATGGGAAATTGAAAAATCAGTTTACAGTACACGACACTAATACTCGAACTCGTTGACCCAAACATGACATTCCTACTTGAAGCCTGAAAATACGTCTTTGAGTTTAGAAATCGAAGTCCAATTTTTAAGTAAAAGGATCGATCTGATTCATAGTCTCAACGGTCAATATTATTAAGGCATACAATATCCTCGAGCTATCACACACTCGGGCTAAATACGTCGACATTCGAGTTAATTGGTTGTGAAATATAATCTATACTAATAATCGATCTTTTAACGATCCATGCACGATCATAACATCCACACTCGAACATAAAATCCATGCACGATCTCAGGACAAAAGCAAGTTGCACGAATTGATAAAATCGAAGCCCAGATCGGGCAGCACATTTCAAATTGCATTAACAGAAAAAACATGAGCCCAAGTCGAGCAATGTACTTGTACAATTTTCAAAAACAAAAAAATTAAGGACTAGGGCCTAATCAAGCTCGATGGTGTCAGCGCCACCCTGATCGGAGGGTCCCATCATCATCGCCATCGCTTTCATCCTCGACCTCCGAGGCAAGTAGCTTGAGCTAGTTTCCAAGCTCGTTCACCGTCTTGAGCTTTTCTACCATCGACTTTAGGTCGTCAGGAAGCTTCTTCCTCAAGAAAGAGCCCGCAAGCCGCAACTCGTAGTGATACGACCCCGAGCCATACTGCCCAAGAAGAGTCCTGAACTCATCAGACTTCTTAAAGTCTTCGATTGTCTAAGTACGAGCCTCTTCTTGGGCTTTTGACGATTCCTCCTCGAAGCTCTTTTTAGCTTGCAAGAGCTCGAGTTTGGCCTCTTCAGCTTCATCTCTGGCCACCCTGATCTCGTCTCGAGCTTTACGAAGGTTGGACCTCGCATCGTCACGCTTCTTCTCAACCTCGATAGTCCACTTTTTAGCATGATCTCTTTCCCTCTTGAGCCCTTCCAGCTGGCTTGAGATATTGAGGCCATTCAAGGTAAGACCCCTTGCCATACTCAACGTCTGCATAAAAACAGTAATAAAACTCGGCGTTAGTATGATCAATTGAACATAAAACTTAAAACATCATTAAGGTTAATATCTTACCCTCAAGTCAAGACCTCCAACGTCTTGACACCCTCGTGAATGTTGACCTCCTTCTCAAGCCAGTCAACAAGGTCCTTCACCATGGCGTACTCAGAGTACTCCTCGAAAACGCTCTCAGAAATCGACGAGAAGGCCGAATTAGCCACGCCCTGACACCTCTGAGCTCGATCTTGTGATTTAGGTGTTTTCTGTGGTAGGGAGGTCGGGTCCTTCGACGTCGAGGTTCGACCTTTTGACAAGACTTGGGGCTCTAAGGTTAGGGTTTCCCAGTAACGACCTCTCTAGCCCATTTCTTCCCCTTGGATTGGGCCGGGGCCTTAGGCTTGGGGCCCTTGGCCTTATGATGAACGTTTGCTAATAGCTTCGATGGGTCAAAAGACATCTCCAAATCTGCAAAAATGACAAGCACTTAAGTTCGACCTAAATCTCACAAACAACACGTGAAAAGAACAAGGAAGGAAGACCATACCCTCGAGGCCTTTGACGTTTGCCAGATCGAGGGTGTTATCCTTGAGGAGATAATCAATCTTTTCTGCCAGAAGGTCATGATTAACTAATTTCAACCTATCCCATTCTAGAACTTCAAAGTAAGCCCGACCTTCATTAAACCTATCTCTGTCCCAAACTTCCTACTTCGGGCTAAAAGGGTGATCGGGATCCTGAGGCTTGACAAAAAAGAATAGCTCTTTCCAGTCCCGGAGAGAGCTCGGGGACTCTGGTGTCCTAAACCCCTCTTTGGTAGACAAATATACAAAACAATTATACCCCGACGAGAATTTCATGTCAAAAACCATCTTCAATGGGTCGATCCTAGGTTTGATCTCCAAGCACCTATAGAGGATAAAGAAATACTCTAGGAGCATCCACCCGTTCGAGGCTAACTGACCCGGGCACAAATAGAAGGAGGTCAAGAAATGGATAAAGAAGGGGTGAAAAGGGCATCTAAGCCCGACCTTAAGGGCATCTCTAAAAAAAGTCATCTCTCCCTCTCGAGCTCCGATTACGATTTCGGTTGGCTCGGGGGTTCGAACATCACCCAAGGGCATGACCCTGAATTCCCTAGCTATCTTAATGATCACATGTTCTTTGTATTTTGTAGGGTTCGTTGGATAGGTCAATACTACCTCACCCTGAGAATGCGAACTCACAAGTATGGCCATGGGAATTAGGGAAGTACCTACGGTTTCGGGGTTCTCACCATCGTTTGAGCTCCTAGAGGGTTTGCTACTATCACTAGAACTCAATTCTTTGCTACTACTCAACATTATGATTTTCAAATAATTAACAACTTAAAGGCACAATCTCTTACCTCTTTAGAAGTGTGCTCACAGACTCACTATCCCCGAGCTCGAGCTTTCTTTTACTGGAGAGTGAAAAGCGAAAGTGAAATGTGGGGACTATTTATAGCGGTCTTTGGGATGTCAACGGTCTATTAATCCTGGCCTTTGAATAAAAACACGTGGCAGCCATCTAAGCTAGTGCTCTGACATCCCATCGAACGCCTGACACGTGGAAAGACACCTGGACATTTATGCCTTTACATCTTCGCTTGTAGATCAAGCTTGGACGGAAATCTACGACCTCAATGCACAGGGGCCTGTGATGACCCCAAATCTAGTGAATCCCAAACTCGACCCATGGACCCTGAACTTGATAACCCCCTAAACCACCAAATCAAGGTCGGGCTTGTTTGTCATCTCGTCAGTCCTTCTTAACGACCTAGGAGAGCACTAATTCTACTTGAACCACAATTCTTACCCTAATTGACTCCTTCTCCGACTCAAACAATGGTTGAACACTTGGAATGAAACACTAACTCCTTATCCTACTAGGGTAAGGATCACACATGATTAAGTCCTTCTAGGGCTCTATCATTAGTACCTATAAATACATAACCCATACTCATTCTTGAGGTACGTTTTTCATTATTTCTAATTTATAGTCTTACGCACTAAATTCTCTATCCGACTTAAGCATCGGAAAGACGATGAGCACACACCTTGTTGCCTTTGTTTCAGGTATTCGAAAAGCATTCGCGTTCACTTAAGTTTGCCCAAGTTTGGAGTTTGATCATCAAGTTCGAGATTTTTCAGGTACTATATTTTGATAACATCATATATATATATATGAATTTGAATCATGATGCACGTACAGATATTTTTTACAGAACTGTTTCACAAATAACACATGACAAATCATCGATTTAAAAAAAAAAAAAAAAAAAAAAAAGAGAAAACAAACGGACAGAATGCTGCCGCAACAACACCCTCTAGGAAACCTATGAAGCTTTCCCTGCACTTAGGGAACAGTCCTATGAATTTTGTTTGTACGTTAACATTGCCCTTCATAACATATTGTCATGTCGAATACTCGGGGGCAGGAGGAGGTGGAGCAGTGGGCTTTATTTTTTATAAATTTTCCCCCTATATATTAGCTCAGTACAATTTTTTTGTTTCCCTGACCGTGTCCCAACACATTTTGATAATAATCTGGAATGATATGTCGAACTTGAACATGTGATTGGATATAAATATGAATCGAGTTCCATCAACTTTAATCTAAAAGTCTACATCTGATGCAAAATGTAGTACAAGAAGCAATTAGGAGTTGACATTGTCACATGGAGTTATGTGTATGAACCTCCCATTTGAAAAGCATTTATATCATAAATAGATTGTAACTTAAAAATTTTAATACTGTTTATGATTAAACAATAATAAGCATATTTCCCTCAGAAAGTTCTTCCTTTTCTTCCTCGAACGGCACCCGATGTCGGAATACTTTGTTCGTTCCTGAAAAAATTATCGGGATCAAAAGTGCTCTTAGTTTTGACTAATCTGTAAAAATTCCCTTTGAAATATTTCTCTCCGTACACCTTCCCTTGACCGAAACTGTTTTTACCGTAGTCTGTAATGCCAATGTCCAGATCCCTGTAATTCAAGAAGGATTCCCTCGGATTACTTGAAACAAAAGGGGTCATAAAACTGTAGAGATTTCTAATCTGATCAATGTAATTCTTGTCTGATGCAGCATCTTCTTCATTCCAGTTTACAGAATATTGAATCTTGAAAATGTTTCCAGCCCGATGAGGAAATGGGGTTTCAGATTCTGGTATTTCATTCATTCTTCCACCGTAGGAATTGAAAACAAGCCCGACTTTCCCTATGTCCACCATTGCCTTCCACAGAGATTCCAGCCCTGTTTTGGGAATCGGAGTTTTGACGTAATCAGATTTTCGTTTCAGGAAATTGACGGAGTCAGGGGATCTGTTCAGTAGCACATTCGGGCTTGTAGTGTTGTCGAAATTAGCCCAGTATAGAACCGAGTCAATCCAACTCATTTCCTTGCAATCTGCTTTCAGCAATCCAAGTCCAGGGAATTCAGAACTCGTGATGGACAATAGTCTATTGGAATCACCAAGGAACATTCCGATGAATGTTGCTCGAACCGTCCTGGTTTTGTCTTTCGTAATAGGTTGTAATAGAACCCGAATGAAGAGATCATTGTCAATCTTTTGCATGACCTCTTGGTACTGCAAAACGGCTTCTGTCGCGTTCTGGTCCAAGCCCTTCTGAATATGGAAAACTGTTACAACTGGGGGAACAGGAACTAGTTGTATTTTGTAGGCTAATATAACACCAAAACTAGCGCCGCCGCCGCCCCTAATTGCCCAAAAAAGGTCCTCACCCATCGCCGCCCTGTCCAGAACTCTGCCTTGTATATCGACAACTAGCGCATCCACTATATGATCCACAGACAGGCCGTATTTTCGCAACATGTTACCATACCCGCCACCAGTCAGGTGGCCTCCGACGGCTACAGTCGGGCAAACACCAGCCGGAAAACCATGGACTTTGCTTTTCTCCCAAATCCTATAATACAGTTCTCCAAGCGTTGCCCCGGCTTGAACCCAAGCAGTTTCATCCTTCAGATCGAGATCGACATTCCGTAGATTAAACATGTCAAGAATGATGAAACTAACATCAGAAACATACGAAATCCCTTCATAATCATGTCCACCACTTCGAATTTTTAGTTGAATTCCAATTTTTTTGGCGCATATAACCGTTGTACTAACATGGGATGCTTCCAATGGAGTGACAATGATGGCCGGTTTCGGGGTCGAGGAAGTGTTGAACCGGCGATTTCTGATGTATGATTGAAGAACCGATGTAAAAGAGGGATTGCTCGGACCGTACACAATTTGTGAGATTTGAGATTGAGGGATTTTATTATCTGAAAAGCATTGGACTAAGGCGTCGTAATCAGAATCTGAGGCTGCAGTTGAAAAACAGTTAAAAGAACAGAGAAAAGAGAGGAGAAGAACAGCATAAGCACTTTTCATTTTTGATTTTTTTTTTTTTCGCGGGGATAAAGAAAATTGTGTATGACAATCACTATATACATATAGATATAGATTGTACACAGAGAGAGAGAGAGAGAGAGAGAGAGAGAGAGAGAGAGAGAGAGAGAGAGAGAGGTGGGGGTAGATGGAGTGAGGGTGGACCAATTACCAATTTGTTTTCTTATTCCACCTTATGTCACGCCGGAAAATGGATCTTTGTCTTTTGGATTCGACCATTTATAGGAAAATTGTTCTATCTTTACACAATATTTTAATTTTAAAGGGGTAATTTTTTTTTTTTTTTTGGTTCTAATTGATTTGAATAATACTAATGAGGGTGTCCTCAACTAATATATTGATGAACTTTAAAAGATTATAAATCCTAATAAATTTCGTGAATTTGAATAGATTCCCACAAGTTCCAAAAAAATATTATCAAATATGGTAAAATTTCTAAGAATTTGATTATATGTATTTTTACGCTTGAAATCCATCTCAAATATTTAAACATCCTTCTATTAATGGAATTTTTATAAACCCACTAGTTATTGAGGATACAATTTTAGACGTCTTTCCAAATCAATTTTTATGAAGTACTGAAAAATAAAATGAAAGAAACAAGCACAACTTGTTTAACAAGAACAACTTGGGCCAATAACATAGTCCTACCAGATACAGAAATGGTCCATAATCAAAAGATTCAAAATCCGAATATCAAACATAGGGTGTAAAACAAAAAAGAACTTCCAAATATAATTTTCATGATTATGACAATAAAAAATATATTAATAACCTAACATTAAATTTATTAAGTTGTCACCAATATTCATTTTCTTATTCCTCCTCAAGTCACGGGACAAATTATCAATGTCTAATATTGCAACTTGGAACACAACCCCGTTTGGTACACATTAATGAAAAAATAAGAATGAAAAATACACACCTAAGAGCCTGTTTGGGAGTGATTTTGAGAATTGATTTTTTGACCGTTAGAAGAAAAATGAAATCCACGTGTGAGAGAAAAAGTCAAATATGACGACTAAAATAGTGAAAGAACGGCCAAAAAATCAATTTTTTTGGGGTAAAAATCGCTTCCAAACAGGTCCTATGTTTTAATGTATTCTGCATTTTTTCTCGTAAATTGTTTAGTGCTGTACAATGCACAAGACCGCAGTTTCCAGTTTCCATGGTCAATGATTGAAGTTTCAAAGTCACGGGTTGCCAAAAGTCTAATGTAAATCGACAAGTTATTAGTTATCTAATAGTGTTAACACATGATCACATGCTCATGCCAGTCCAATGAAAGATACTTACAAACGACCAAGTCAAGAACACAGAAATGGACCCCATTGGCTGAACACCGGACTCTTCGAAACGGGACCCACTCTAAGTTGGAGTGAACAAAATATTTGTGTTCGAGGATGGGAGTTGCTATGAGATAAAGCTGGATTGAAAAGAAATCATTGATCCCACATTGCCAAAAATAAGATAAATTCTCAAAACTCCATGGATAAGGAGTCACTAACCTTACTACATTGCCAAAAACAATATTTACACAAAAAATAATCAATCGTCTCCTTAATGTGAAAACGTAAATACAGAGCTAATATGCCGTTAGATTATATTTCTATGCCATGGCTTAACGGGAATTAGATTGTGATTCCAGCTTCTGCCAGTGGGGCGCATTGAAAAGCACGAGATATATAGTATTACAACATCAAAATTATGCAAATAACCGGATGCTGCAAGAAGATGTTATCCTTTTTATCGTTTTCTAGCTCACTGATCAAGATCCATGCACTCACCGGTCACCCTGTTGAGACAGAATAGAAACAGCATCAAGTCATCAATCGGTAAATGAAATGGAAATCCTAATTTAGCAATTTGAAATTAAAATCAATTAGAACTTGTAAAGAAAGTTTAAAATAAAACAATCAAGATAAATTACCAAAGACGGATGATTGAAAACGTGGTTTTATACTCTATCTCTATATATATGTTTATGCAGCGGTTTCAATGTTTCTATGTAAGATTACGAGATCACTGTTCTATTTGTTAATAATATTTTGATTNTATATATATGTTTATGCAGCGGTTTCAATGTTTCTATGTAAGATTACGAGATCACTGTTCTATTTGTTAATAATATTTTGATTTACTGACAGAGTCCATTTGGGATGTCTTTCAGAATAGGATAGAAAACAAGTTACGTCGCGAACAAAACTTGTCCAGAAAAGTAACTTTTAAGCATAGCAAGAAAAAGATCGCGTACATCAAGAATTAGAAATACCTTTAAAGAATTGCATTAGAATATTACATCAAGAATTAGAAATACCTTTAAAGAATGGCATTAGAATATTTAATGACATACAAGAATTAGAAATACCTTCAAAAAATTGCAATAGAATATTTAATGACATAAAAGAAGCCTCATACCTGTTATAGGATCAGTAACCATCACCAATAGTACATATGACTTTATTTCGTACCTTTTGTACACACACCTTAACAAAGATGAGAAGTTAAAAAACTTGATATCCTTGGTGAACTAATAAGAAGAAAATATTTGGTGACAAATATCCTCAGGCCATTAATAAGACATACGATATTCGGGTGTTAAAGCACACCTGAACTAGATCTACGGGGCCAGCCTCTGGATCCCTGTTACGCTGAATAACAATTCCGTTATCACATTTGTTAATGAAGTGCGCAATCCCACTGATGTCGTACAAATTTGGGGGCCTTCCGACCCAATTGTGCAACTGTTTAAAAAAACATGTTTCGAGGTTATTTTAAATTAGAAAATCCTTGGAGTAAATGCATGGTTCTACAATTACTAACCTGTCTAGGATGCGCTACAAACCAAACATGACATGAATGATGTTGAGCAAATCGTTTGATCTTCGTCAGCACCTGACGTACATACTCAGTTTCAGTCCTGTCATTTATTATATTTGCATTTCAAAACAAAATTCGAACAATTCTAAATAAGAACAGAAATTAATTAATTACACAAGGAATTTTCTTTTATCATTTGTCAAATACAATGACATTGACTTCAAAAGCCAAATAAGCATTGAAGGTTTTAATCCATGAGCCTACTTTATATGGATAAGGTATTTTGTATACACGAAAGCTCGACACGTAGTTTGCCCATGTGCATGCATAAATAGTGTGACACCATAGTCAGATAGGGAAAAATTTCATAATTTTTTCCAATCTGAACAATCTTTAACAAAACAATCATTAATACTGAATATGCAACGTAATAATGTTTAACTGTCGCATGATATTAAGTCGAAGTCAATGGAACTTCATTGCAACTCCTTTCTGGGCAAAATTTCATCAACTCATCTATTCCTTTTTTATAAGTTTCTAAGGTGACTTTTTATGTATAACTTCTCCAGAAACTATATTGCCTTGGCAACAATTATTTTATTAAATTAAATCCATCCAGAGCAGCAACTCTTAGCTAAATTATTGACATGGGTTTAACTCCCAAGCATATAGATGGAACTAATCAGTGGCACAAGGATTTGTTTCACATTGACATACTGTGTAAGAAAGTGCAACCAGCAAATGTCCAGAAAACAAAGGAAAAATTGATTAGATTTTTGCCTACAAAATGCCAGTAGTTTCTCACAGCAACTTCAGCTCATTCCAGTGAAGAACAGTATCAACATCATGTAAGGAAAACACCCAACACAATTAAGGATTTGGAGTAACCTTATTAGGGAAAATGTATCACTGAGCCGCCATTGCTTTCCTTGCTCCAACTCCTCAACATTCATGCGCTGAACAGATTCTCCATACGTATTTGTAGCAATGGATCAAACAGGACAATAAGTAAATGATTAACAGATTAGTCTGCACAGCTGAAACAACATATACCCTATGACATTATATTAAACTGTTTACGTGTATATTCAGCAATGACCTCCATCTCTCTAGATACCACAAAGCCCAAGAGCTTTAGCACTTCGCAACAGATAATAGTTTAACTTTTTCCCAGTATCAATTCAATGAAAAAAAACCTTGACTTTTATTTACATTGGAGAGACTTCTCCAAGGTAAAAGGAGATATTATTTCAACCCATCAATTGTCAAGTATCTTTGGAAAATAAAAAGAAACAGAAAAGTAAAAAAGATGAAGTACTTGGAGACACATTATCAAAAATTCTAGCTGGTAATGGGTTTATAACGAATATAGATTTGGCTCTCATTATGTTTCTAAGACTGAAGCATCCCTTGATTTGCATGTCAGGAATTTTGTGAAAAGCTGAAGGCTATTAATCTCTAGGAAAGACCCAGGACCACTAGATGAACCGGAAAAATAAAGAGCAGCCTAAAAAGTTCGAGTATGGTTAACTTTTGGTACGGATAACACTCTCTTACATGAAGTCAATTTGCCTACCACTCACTGTCTCTTGACTCTTTTCCAATAAGAAAAATGTATTCATATTTACTTACAAATGCACTTACAAATGCAATCAGTTACTATAGGCAGTCTGATGCTTACCTCACGTCAAAGAAAGGCTTCCTTATGTGTTTCTCCAAAAGTTTTCTTGCATGCTCACGAACCTGTAAAGCCACAGATCATACACCAACTAAAACTGTATGTACAAACCTTGACAGGCTAAGGTGCAGTAGAAGAACAAAGAATCTTTTGCAGCAATTACATTGACAAGCAATAGATTGTCAAGGAATAAGTGCTGGACACCACAGCTGCTACAAATTTGACACAGAAAAAGAGATTACAACTATGAACTAACTTAGCCTGACAAGGGAACTGGATTGCATTGATAGTACAAAATTAGCTCTGAGAAGTGAGACGTAGTGGTCCAAAGGTATATGGAAGTATTCGCCATACTGGCAGTCAAGAACTCCAAAATGTGTAGACACAGCATTAGCCAGAAAAACCTCATCATACTGATCAAGTTTAAGAATCCAAAACAGCATTAATTTTTTATTTTTTTTCCCTTTTTTTGCGTCCCCCCCTAGATCCTCTACAAGTTACTACGGAAGAGTTCGCTTCGCAGATTACAATTAATTTCAGAAATTATACAGATCTTCCACAAATTATCACGAACTGTAGTGGCTAAGATTTTTCAGAAATAATCTAATACTTAACTTTAAAAATACATTCATAATATTTCACAACACTTCCCTATCAGCCGTGTGCCTTCAACTTTAAGCGGACGTTTGGTATTGATTTTTCTTCCAAAAAAAACTAATTTTTTTACTGTTATTTCACTATTTCAGCCGTCATTTTTGACTTCTTCTCTCACAGGTAGAACCCACTTTTTCTCTAACGGTCAAAAAATCAATTATCAAAATCACTACCGAACAAGCCCTAAATATCAGTTTCCATCTCAGGGATGCAAAAGATAGACAGCCAGAGTAGGAAATTGACAGATTCCCTCAGATCAGGATAAAAGCTTGACTTCGTAAGGTTAGGATGAAATAGACAGATTTCTCAATATTAGGATCAGATTTGATTTATATCATTTAATTATTACATTTTGATTAGAATAGCTTTATTTTAGGGATTTGATTTGCTATCCTCTTATTTTAGGGATTTAATTTGCTATCCTCTTATTTTAGGGATTTGCTGAATATAAACTTTTAGCCAAAAGCGGTTTAAAATTTATGATGACATGCCAACAAATAAAAGAAAAAAAGTGGGAAAGCAGAAATATTTTACCTTATTCTCCATAGAACAAAGCGCAAATTTCCAACCAACACTTTGATTAAGATTGCATAAAAGAGCATCAATCCACTCACTTGTACCCGAATTGGGGACTCCAGTAACAATAGTCAACTCTCCCGGCACAACCTGTCTCAGAGTAAGATCAAGAACTAAGTGGATGGCATCTATTTAAAAACGTAATGCATCATTAATGTCTGTGACATCAACAGAAATCACATTTAGTTGACTATTAAATGTTGGACTTAAATGTGAACTAGCGTCAAAACTAGAAATAGGAAATGAATTAGTATAATGACAAAAATAAAATTGTCATTTGGAAATAAAAACAATTATCTGAATATTGTTAATTAGCCCAGAAATGAAGAGGGCAAGAATTGACAATTTTTAGAAAATTGTGCAAGAACTCATCTAACATCTGTAGTGTTTTCTCTTGTACACAAAAAACTCTGTATTTCTCTCCTACACAGAACCAAAATGAGGAATAGAAGTGCTATGTTCAGGATCCGTTCATCCCAGACTTATATCATGCAATATATCCAGTGAAATATCATGCATTTAGGGGTGAGTGTGTGGGTGTGGGTGTGCGTGTGTATTATTTTAATTCTTCTGAAAACCCCATGTATCCAGTACATATCATACATATTCAGTGCTTATAGGCCTCTCCGGGTATCCTGAACCCATAAAATTTAAATCCTAGATCATCCACTGATTGTGAATGTGTTAACATGGGAAGCAGCAATAAGCATCAAGCGGTAAATATAAAATGTTGAGCAAACCATACTTACATCATACAATTCATTCAAAGCACTCCATCCAGTTGAACCTCAAGCTCATAGCCAAGTGTTTGATGATAATACTGGTCAATCTCTGTAGCGTAGTCTTTAAGATTGAACAGCCCCTTTATGGGATAAAGCTCAGCATTTTCAACGAGATCCCTCAATGCAAAAGGACCCATAAATGTAAGGACCTACATTTAGGGCATATGACATAGTCAAAGTGACAATATCAACAAATGGCAGGAGTAATGAAGACTGAAGACAACATTTACAAGCTAGGAGAATACATGATTGCCCTTTTATAATGAATGGTAATGGATCTAAACACACAATATATTCAATGCATACATTTGCTTGTAAACGTCTGAAATATGTTGATTAATATGTGAGAACAATTCTCATGCTCTCTAATGTGTCCTAACTGATGCAGCATTCAATTTTTACTCTTAAATATGTCGGAGATATGGCTTTAATCTAAAATGTCACAAATAACTATCACTACAAAACTGCAACAAAGTTAATGGTTGTTCCAGAGCTTCAAAGATCCTAAGAGACAAAATTCAGAGATCATTTTCTGCCACAGTATAAGCAATGCAAGGTAACGTTTAATGTGATTTCCAGTCCCAAAACGCTGCGATTGTGCAAAAAACATAGAATGCAAAACCAGATTGAAGGTAACGTGTTAAATGCCAATTTTACACATGCTTTGCATGGTCGCAACTGAAAACAGCAGGCACAGTGGATGCACTAGCATATCGGTGCATTAGAAGCAAGATTGCAAGAACAATTGAATTTAAAGTTTACAAGTTGCATGTAACAGATCCTATAAAGAATTTAATGTAACAATTTAACGTAACACAAGTTGAAAATTTGGATATTAAACCTCGTTTGCATCTTTAAAAGATTCAGCATCATTCTTCTTCGGTCATTTGACACGCCAACACCTATTAATGAACAAAACTTAGATCTTGTTAAAACACTGTTGATATAATTATACTAATTGCAAGAAAAACCTCTCTCCCCAAGCGGTGGGCAAGTTCTTCAGCCAAGCCTTGACCGGTGGGTCCCCATCAGTGCAAGTATTATGCGAGATGCCTATCAATACACACAAAAAAAAGGCCGAAAAGCTTTGCATCCCAACAATTTCATTTTACAAATCCTTAATAAAATATAACAATAATAATTCGAGCAAACCTTTTCAAGGTTCTCTTTGCAGTTCCACAAATATTGATACTTTGTGTCCTCGCTTCAAAGGATGAGTAAAAAGGGCATTAAAAGCAACACTTCAGTGCAAGATTCATTACAAAATCTATGATGACAAAGACAGAGAGGAGGAAGCTGTCTTGTTTGCTGAACTATCTCCAGTATACATATTGTCGAAAGTGATAGTAACGATGGAGGACAAGCAGCTAATGTTTGAAAAGCGTAATAAAGAAGCCTGGAAATGAAAAAAAAATAACAATAATGATTAAAAAAATATAGATAAGAGAATTAGGCATATAGAAAGGGAAAGAGGGTGAATAGATACATTTCTACCAAGATGGAAATCAAAAGGTTCAGGCAGGATTGAATATAACTCAATCAAGATTGAAAATGCAAAGCACAACAATAATAGGGTTAGCCATAGATAGCTCAGGAAATAATAAAAGACATCATAAGTGGTTGATTAAAGAGTTGCAGCAGAAAGATACCTCTTCAGCGGAAAGGAACTCTTTGTTTGAGGCTTTAGGAGGTGCACCATCCGGCACACTCACACAGTTTTTAAAACCAGCTTCTTCCATTGCAAGCTTATCTATTTCACCTTCAACCTCAATTTAAAAATATGAGAACAAATAGCATGAAAAGTTAAATGGAATGACCATCGACAGCAGAACAATGAAGAAATTTAACTTAGAATGATAATATCACTAGCTCCCTTTATATCATCCAATCCATAAAAAATATTTTCAGTATCGGTTTCCTGCACATTATCAGCATCACCAGCAACAAAATATCAGACTAGTGATGGATAAAACGTGTGAAATACTTCTATGTTAAACTCAAAAAGACACGTCTGAGAAGTAAAACAGTCGAATTGACACCCAGAACCATATTATGAATGGTTGGCGCAGTAGGAGACTATAATCATAAACATCTTACATTAGTGTTTTTCTTACTCGTAAATTTGCATCTTTTTAGGCACGAAGAACAACTAACAATACCTGCCAAAGTTTCTTAGTAATATCCCTATACATGCAGCTAACAAGTTCTCCATTCCTTCGATAGGTGAAAGCAATAGCAATCTGTATAGAAATCTCTACAGACATTCTTCCAGAGAAATTAGCAATTAAATCGAATTCAACTTACTAGATTATAATAGTTTCAAAGAGTCTAAACAATGTTTCTGACATCCCTCTTCGTCTCTCTAAAGTCTGTTCCCCTGCCCCTCCTCTTCTTTCAGGAGAAGGGCAAAGGGCCCAAGGTCCAGGAGGGATGTGAATACAATGGAAATGTAAGTACATCCATGGCTAGAAATAATTCTTTAGCATGTCAAGACAACCTCGTGATTGCACACAAATATACATGAACATTTCTGAAAATAAAACAACATCTGCACCTGGGTGCCTCTTCATTTTTGCATTACAGAGTTTCTCCGCAGTGTTTCCCCAGATATCATTCGCTCAGCAAAATATGCAAGTAGCTGAAACAACAGTTAGAGGGCACCAACAAGGTTGAATATCTCTGTCCAACATAGAGAAACCACAAAGGGAACCGGTATAGAATCATAGACAGGGAAAAAATGGTATACGTTAATCTTAACAAGAAAAGATGCACAAAATTTTGCAATACCAAACATTCAGCAAGCTGGCAAGGTATTACAAAACATATACATTCAAAGTTCATTAAGATTCAACGATAATGGGATCAATCAAGAGATTAAACAGAAGAAAATCCACAAAATTTGGAATTTAATGTTAACTGTACAAGGCTTTGATTGTTCACTGATCATTGACAAGTAGTGCAACTATTGGCTTCATATGATTGACTGGCATTCAGGATTTCCATGAAAGTTCTATCTCTTGGTCACACCATGCACTCAGATTTTATTAAGTTGTCAAAGTCCACACTTGATTCCTTGTCACCGAAAGAAAAAAAAAAGGAGGGGGGAAGTTTTGTTCTAGTCACAGGCTGCTCAGAAAGCATTCCACAATCTCAATTATCAGAAACATGCTTGAAACTATAATCTATAGATCATAACAGCAGAGTTTGGTGATAACTTCTTGAACAGATTTGAAACAACACTAGCAAAAAAGAGATTCTACTAACCAGTTGTTTGTATGGGTAATAATGTCCAAACATATATAACAAATTATTGATAAATACCTCGTTGCACAAAGGTTCCAGTTCCAGACACTCTTTTGTGATTTCTCTGAATGGTTGTTTTGCTTTGGTGATTCTACTCATTTTTGCATAAGTAGATTTTACATCAGCAAAGGCCTTCAAGCAAAATAAGCACTAGATCACATGAATCATGCACCATTGGTAGTGAGTTAAGTGACTTCATTTGAAGCATACCCTTGTAGTGCCACTCCACCCACATTTAGCCCGAAAGCAGGTCCACATTGCTGCAGCACTATGACGTACAGGTGTATATTACTATACTTCTGTTAAAAGAAACGGAAAACACACAAAACAAGGTATAATAGGAAACTTACCCATCTTTTGTGATGTGAAGAGATAAGCTTTTCTCTTCCGAATCCCCACCTTTGCACTGCAAAGTCCACAATGAGAAAACTCAAGACAATGGAATCAGCAACTAAAATGAGCATGCACTGGTATGAATAGTTCTGGCTATCAGAAATGCAGTCTCGTAAACAATTATATGGTTTCAGCTGTTGTTAACTATTATAACTTATGAAGAAACAGAATTCTTCTGCAGCATTGCCGAACCAAATGAAATTAACTTAATTACATGTCTGTTGGCATGCTTTCTATAGTTCTAGTTGAAGTGATTGACATAGATACTGTATATAGTACTTGTCTCTTCATACATAGTGATAGCAAAATGTTAGTTACTAAATCGCAATATTGTTATAGCTGAATAAACTGAAACATGACGAGTCTCTACGCAAAAGAATATTTAAAAGCACGTACGCTTGGACATATTAAACCATAGTATTGCCCTGGCTTACAAACATCTCCGTCAATCCCGATATCCTCCAACCTCTGTTTTAACATCCTCACTTGCTGCTCTGGGGTCTCCAAAACGACTCCAGAAACCAGACCAAATCAAATAAAATCATTCTTCAAAATCCATTAAAAACAGAACAGACAAACCTAGCCACGTCCTACAATCTTCAAATAGTGGCACCAATTCTATGATGCTGTGCAGTAGTTTTGTGATATCACATTTCTGTTTCTCTTTCTATAAATTTCAAATGAAGTTTTTTTTCAAACAACGCCAAGAATTCGGCTTTACCTATTTTATCCAACTTGTATAATACCCGCAAAACTTAAGTACCAAAGTAGATAAACAAACTTTATGCCAAATGAGTTTTGAAAGAAAGAAAATTGCTTAACAGCAACGCTCTAAAAATGTTCTCTCTGGTTAACTAGTTGTACCTTCGTCTGGCATAGTCAATTTTCAAACATTAATAAGGCAGCAAATATATTTAAAAGGGAACAAAACATCAAAAAAATAGAATAAAAAACCTGGTCTGGGAATAGGCATAGCGGCATTGAGGTAATAACTCAACCCAGAACTCATCCGATGAATTGGAGATATGGTTTTCGAAGATGTAGAAAATGCTATATTTTTCCTGTGAGTAAAAAATAACTGAGGTTGCGAAGTTGAAGAAAAATGGGCCGCATCTTTATTTGTATGTGTTACCGGCGTGAGTGTAGACTTAAGAAGGAGCAAGTGTTTGGAGCCCATCAAAATTCCTCTGTTGTAGTGGGAATTCGTGTTCAGAAACAGTCTTCTCTGAGGTAAAAGAAGCATGTTTCGAGTTGCAAGGGTTTCTTGTTATCAACAGGAAGAAGAAGAAGAAGAAGAAGAAGAAGAAGAAGAAGAAGAAGAAGAAGAAGAAGAAGAAGAAGAAGAAGAAGAAGAAGAAGAAGAAGAAGAAGAAGAAGAAGAAGAAGAAGAAGAAGAAGAAGAAGAAGAAGAAGAAGAAGAAGAAGAAGAAGAAGAAGAAGAAGAAGAAGAAGAAGAAGAAGAAGAAGAAGAAGAAGAAGAAGAAGAAGAAGAAGAAGAAGAAGAAGAAGAAGAAGAAGAAGAAGAAGAAGAAGAAGAAGAAGAAGAAGAAGAAGAAAATGCTTGAATTTCCATGGATGAGAGAAAAAGCAGAAAGAAAAGGTTTAAAGAAGGGCATCACCAATTTTGTACTCGTTTCGGCGGCTGGTTTTGCGACTTGTCTCTTCGTTCCTGCCTTCTTGAGAATGAAATAACACTCCCAAGTTTTTATAAGCGTGTTTGGGATATAACGCTCCCTTCTTTGAGTCCATTTTTCATTACATTTATTAATTTTCCATCCAAATTCTTACTTGGGGTGTTTAATTGCTATTTTTTTGTATGGAAAACATTTTTCAACTTTTGAAAATATGCTTAATTTTCTTTGTTTTTAAGGAAAATATTTTCCTTGGGTGGAGGTAGTTTTTGTTTTCCTTAAAACAAAGAAAACATTTTCTTTTTTAGGTAATATTTTCCATGCGAATCAAACGCACTCTAAGTTCATTTTTTTCGGAACTCATTTTTCAACCACGTAGTTTTCAATGAAATAATATTACACTTAAATTTAAAACTTTTTCTTAATTTTTAACCACACATTTTATATCAATCTACTATTTAAAATGTATTCTTTCCCCAAAATGAGGCTCAATCAAGGATGTTTGGGTATGAATCAATTTTCTTTAATGTGTGTTTGAGCCACATTATTTTTAAAGAATGCATTTTAAAATAGTAAATTGATGGAGAATGTGTGATTGAAAGAGAAAGAAAAGTTTTGAATTTACGTGCAATATTATTTTATTGAAAAATGTATCGTTCAAATGTGTTAAATCACTATTTAAGAATATATATATTTCAAATAATGCAGTTCAAACAATGCCTTGAATTACTTTTTAAATATTTCCTTATTTCTAAATATTTTGAATCACATGCTCTTCTCTTACAAATAAAATTCTAGTTGATTTGATCAGCTTTTACATTCAAATCAAGTAGTGTGGGTCAAATTTTTATTTATTTTAAAACATATTTTTACTTACAATTAAATATTTTTAATTTGCTAAACACACACTAAGTAGTATTCGTTTTTTTAGGTCGGGTAATATAACCCCACGAAGACTGGAAGAAAAATGCATAAACCAATAAAAATTTGAAATCAGGTTTATCTGGCCCTAGGCCCCGCCTAAAATTTTCTTTTTCTAAGATTTTGGAATGGGGGTAAAAAGCTTATTTAAATGAAATAGTAGCAACAACAAATGAAAACTATCTCAAGCTTAGAAATAATAGAAGTAATATGTGTTACATTTTTTTCACTTTTAAATAAAAAGTTACTTACTTTGATAATAAAACTAAAGGTATACGAAGTAGGCAACAATAAAAAATGAAGATATTTTAAGATTATCTTGCGTTCAAGACATAATCTTTTTCACAAATAAAGTTATATATAATTTGTCCCCTTTACAGGTATGTAACATTTCCACATTTAACAAACCTCGTTTGGTAACAATTTTTTTGAAAATACATTTTTCACTCTCTTCTTTTCAATCACACATTCTTTATTAAAATAATACTATACGTCAATCAATTTTTTTTTCTCATTTTTCGACCATACATTTTCGATCAATTTACTATTCTAAAATACATTTTTACATGAAAATGAATCCCAAACACCCTCTATGTCAATGGCACAAATTTGACTATCTTGGACTCAGTTCACTTATTGATGCTTCATTTATGGATTGGGGTTGGTTGGGGCCTATCTTTTTTGTCATGCTATCTGATCCACATGGAATAAAAAATGCAAGCCTTCGAGGAATAGGTACTATGTCTAGGTAACTTTCAAGCGTAGGAAGTAACGATGACATTGTTGGTCTTTTATTGACATCTTCTTCGATACATAGTAAGCCAATTCGAATGCATCGAATGATTTCATTCAAAACACAAGAGTTGCAAACTTGGTTCCATCAATTCCAAGGGCGCACCATTTCTCCAAAGCTTCCAAGCCTGGGCAAGCAAAACTAGCCTTATAGATAAAATCAGTTAAAAACTTAACTTAAATCTTATTCTATTAGATAAAATCATTTTTGAATTTTTTTATAGATAAAATCATTTAAAAACTTAAAACTAAAGTCAAATAAAAGTCTTAAATTTTTTTTAAAAAGTTGATAAACTAAAGTCAAATATAAGGTTTTAAAAAAGGGAAAAAGATTAATCAAGCGCGCCTGACAAGCCTTGGTGCGCCTAGCCGCACATTTAACAGTCAACTTAGCAGTTGATCGGTTAATTCGCATTTACTACAAAGAAGAGGCACTTTTTAGAATAATGACTTTTATTTTTATATAAATTAATGTATGTCAAACTTGTATTTAAAATCATTTATTTTAAAACATATTTAATTTCAATATTTTATGCTTTGCCAAACACACACTAAGGAGTATTCGATCTTTGGGTCGAGTAACATAACCTGACGGAGAGTGAAAAAATTGCGTATACCAAAATATTTTTTGAAAATTAGGTCTATTCGGCCCTAGCCCACCTCATTTTCTTTTTCTAAGGTTTGGGAATGGAGTAAAAAGCTTATTTAAATGAAACGGTTGCAACAACAAATCAAAACTATGTCAACCTTAGAAATAATAAAAGTTACATTTTAAGTGACTTTTTTATTTCCAGTCACGCGTTTTTTTTTTTTACAGTATAATTAAAGATATTGAATACGAAGAGGCTATAATGGAAAATTAAGGTATTTTAAGACTATCAAGTGCTCGTGATGTAATCTTTATAAAAATCGTATATGATTTGTCCCTTTGGTGATGTCACATTTTCACATCTAACAAAATGTCAATAGCACAGAATCAATTATCTTGGACACAATTCACTAATTGATGCTTCATTTATAGATTGGGGTTGGCTGGGGTTTCTCTCTTTTGTCATGCTATCTGATCCACTCGGAATAAAAAATGCAGGTCTTCGAGGAATAGGTAGTGTGTCTGAGTAACTTTCAAGCATAGGAAGTATTGATGACATTGTTGGTCTTTTATTGACATCTTCTTCAACGCACAATAAGCCAATTCGGATGCATCGAATAACTTCATCCGAAACAAAAGACTCTTGCAAAGTTGGATCCATCAATTCCAAGGGTGCGCCATTTCTCCAAAGCTTCCAAGCCTGGGCAAACAAAACTAGCCTTATAACCTCTTTGATTAATTTAGAAATTTTATTCGTATTTAGTAATAGCATGTTTTAATATGAACGTTCAAGTCTCCGAATTTACAAGTGAAATTGAAACATTGCACTCACATAGCTTATAAGGTCTCTTGTACCATGTGATTTGTAAAAGCCATTACTCTTCTTGCCACTTATGATTTCCAAGATTAAGACGCCAAAACTAAAAACGTCAGATTTTACTGAGAATTGACCATGTATTGCGTACTCTGGTGCCATGTAACCACTACAAGACATAAACATGATTCCATGTCTTAAGTGTAGATAAATGTAGCTATACATAACAAATATAAAGTAAAACTTACTATGTGCCAGCAATTTTGATTGTATTTTCTACAGATTGATCAACATCAAAAATTCTCGCCATGCCAAAATCCGAAATTTTTGGGTTCATGTCTTTGTCTAAGAGTATATTGCTAGCTTTGAGATCACGATGTACAATTTTAAGACGAGATTCTTCGTGAAGGTAAAGCAATCCTCGTGTTATTCCTCTTATGATCTTGTGACGTCTTGACCAATCCAAGGGCCGTTGTTTTTCTGGATCTTTACATCCATTAAGGAAATGCATAAAGTTAATTAGCACCAATGTGAATAACTCAAATTTTGAAATTCAAATGCAGGTTCATTGGCTTTGAATACAAGGAAGAAAAGCAGTATTCACACTGATACTAACCGAATAGAAAGTAATCAAGACTTTTATTTGGCACAAATTCGTATATGAGAATCTTCTCTTCTCCTTCCAAGCAAAATCCTAGTAGCCTTACTAGATTCCTGTGTTGAAGCTTGGCAACGAGTATGATCTCATTCTTAAATTCTTTTGCACCTTGTGCTGAACTCTTAGAAAGTCTCTTCACAGCTATCTCTTGTCCATCTGGAAAGGTACCCTACAAACATTATTTCGTACATGATATTAGACAACACTCCATAAGGGATAATTCACACATTGGTTACAGTGACAACATGCATGGGCTTGGATTACCCCTTTTAACAGTGTTTGACCTTTAGATAAAATTCCAAGTCTTAATACTATACATTTAACTTCACCAAACTAGCCATATGTTTATGTATTGATCCAAGGAAGTGTGAATGCAAGGTAGTAATGAAATAGATAATTATATGATGCCGTACATATAGAAACTGTATTCCTTAAATTACCTTGTACACATCACCAAATCCACCTTCTCCAATTTTATTGTCAGCAGAAAAGCTGGTAGTAGCAATTTCAATAGCGTTTAACTCATATTGCAGGGATTCAACTGTCGAAATATCATCTTCTTCCACACACAAAAACGACGAATCAGTAAAAAAAATCATGCAGTTGAAACGAACGTGCAAGACAAGAAGAAAACCTTTTTAGATTTCAATTCTTGAAATTATATATTAAAGGTGCAAAATTAATGACCAATGCATTCAGCAAAAACTGCTGAATATGTAGAAAAAGATAAAACAGAAACCAAAGGCCTCTTCAGCTTATTTCATGCTATCACACCATCTAAATACGGTTTACAGAAGTTAGATCGAAAGGAAATTTTTCTACTTCCTTTTTGACCAGCCGTCGAGCTTACCATTTCTCTCCTTTATAGTACCATATTGTTTCTGCTTCATCGTTCTCCCAGTCAAGAAACGTAAGCCTACCAGCAAGACCACTAAGGAAACAACAGCAATTGGAACAACGATAGCAATAATAACTTGTCTTGAGATTCCCCCGTTTCCTGTATTAAGAACAAAAAGGTAAATTAGGATTTCAAAAGTTGCTTCTATCCATAGTTGTTCAAGTATCTTACAGACTTAGCAAAAGTTTTCTAGCCTATGTTGAACTTAAAATTCTGAAATATTGATGGAGAAATACGGACATATGTAGTGCTAGGAAAGGAAGTGTTTAATTATGCGGGACAATTGACTTAAAAGAGATGTCTTGCATTAGGATGTTACCTTGTTTGTTCTTAGGATCAGGTGCAGGTGCAGGTGCCAGTGCGGGTGCAGGAACGGGTGTGGGGACGGTTGTGGCGTTGTAGAAGGGGTATGTCTCATACCTAATATTGCAGCTAGGGGAAACAAATGTTACTCCTTTCTTATTTTCACAACATGTTTGTAACCTCGAGGTGGAATTTTGAAGGCAGAAGAGACAATCTTCACTAGAAAGATCGGGTGTGCACTGTGCCAGGGTAAACAACTTTACTGTCTTTCCAGATGCCGTAACGTTGGCATCTTTGGTAGCAAATTTCTTACCAGAGAATTTATGAGCAGCCTGATGTACTGTCTCATTCATCGTAGGTACTAATACAGCGATGAAATTATATGAATTACCATTGAAACTCTGAGTATTAACCATGACCCTCCCAGGTGAGAAATTCACCCTGGAGAATATGGATCGATTTGAGTACCGTAACATGCATTTATCATACCAAATTGTTGCCTCTTTTTGGTTGGGACAACGTTGTGAGATTATAGTTGTAGCATTTTTCACACAAATCTCACAGACATCGGTGTTAACATCACCTCTACATAGAAAGAAACCATAGATTGTGTCCGGAGGGCTGTGGCCAACAGTGTAGTTATAGTATCCATTCTCCTGGGTAGCATTTGAGGATAAAGTAAGGAGAAGTTGATTCAAGTTGGATTGATAGATGCTATTAGGACTGTACATAGTTGTATTTGGGCAGAAATCACGAAGAAAATTCAAGGAGCTAACCCTTCTCGCGCTAAAGGAAGAAAGAAAGCAAAACAACAAAAAATACGCAGAGATGCTCAAGGCCGACATGGTCTGCTACTGCTATATTTTGATCTGTAAAGCTTTCTTATTTTACCATTCACACTAACATTCCTCAATTTGTCCTGCTGTATATCATGATTAATGGCGAAACCAGACATTAAACTTTACGAACGAGTCAATTTCTTGGAAATTACCAAGAGAGAGAATTGACAATATATTTAAAAGGTTGAATCCCAATCTTAAGGGTCCCCCATCGCCCCCTACCCTGAAGTATTATGAGGGAGATAAATTACAAGTTATGCCTCCAAAGATACAGAGTAGAAGGTTGTTTGTACACTTACACTTACCCAAGAGTACAGGGTGGAAGACTAAAATGTTACAAATGTGAATAATTTGACCTAATCAAATTGTACATGTTTGGTGAGGACAAAAGATTGATGCGACAATATCTTTAATGAGCAGACAATACTGTCTGCTCATTTCATAAAGTTATATTTTTAAAACTCGGAGGCAGTCAATTCAATCTGCTTTAAAAAAACCTAATAATTGAATAGGACCAATTCTGCAATTAAATACGGTATTACTTATTACACGGTTCATGCCAAATTTTAGCGTTGACTTGATCCACAAGCGCCACATATTGGACTTACCCGGCCTAATTCATTGATTGATGCTTGGTATCAATGAATCAAGCTGACTTTGTTTTGGCCGTTTATCAACTTAGACAATATATATATATATATAGATGATTTCTGCCATTATTGAACTTTTTAAGTAATTCTTGGTCTATCATCAACACTTTTTTGAACACACAATAAGCCAATTGGATTCATCCAACGCACAAGACTCTTGCAAAGTTGGATCCATTAATTCCAAGGTGTACTATTTCTTCAAAGTCTCCAAGCCTGTTCAGGCAAAAGTAGGTTAAGATGAAGTTCATTTTTTATAAATAACTTTAATTATTTTATTTGTTACCAATAATATTTTATAATATGCTCGTTTGAGTATTCTAAATTTACAAGTAGAATTAGAACTTTGCACTCACATAGCATATCAGGCTCGAGCTTGTACCATCTGATTTGTAGAAGTTGTTATTATTCTTGCCGCTTATGTTATGATTTCCAAAACCATGACGCAAAAACAAAAAACATCAGATTTTATTGGGAAGCGGCCACGCATTGCGTACTCTGGAGCCATGTAACCGCTACAATCAATCCCATTCCACATCATATACAAGTCAAGATGAATGAAGATGTACACAACAAATGGGAAGTAGAACGTACTATGTCTCGACAATCTTCTTTGTATTCCATTGAGATAGTGAACACCAAAAATTTTCGCCATGCCAAAATCCGATATTTTTGGGTTCATATCTCCACCTAATAATATATTGCTAGCTTTGAGATCAGGATGTATAATCATAGACAAGAGTCTGAAGGCAAAATCATTCCGTGTGCTATTCCTATGATCTTGTAACATATCGACCAATCCAATAGTTGCTGTTTTCCTGGATCTTTACATTCATTAAGATTAAGAGAATGAATACCGTTACCACTCAATTTTTAAAGGCCAAGTCTCAGGAATGAAAAAAATAAAAGCCGTTGATTAAAAATATGTATTGTTAATTATTAAATAATTTTTAAACTGGTTGAAAATTTAATATAATATTAAAAATAGGAAAACACTTTTTTACGCCTAGGAGAAGCTGATTCAAGTTTGCCTGATACGAGCTATTAGGACTGTATATAGGTTTAGACAGTTAGAATCAAGAAAAAACAGAGAGCTAATTCTTCTAGTGCTAGAGCAGAAGAGCATGTGAAACAACAGAAGAGACACAGAGATGGTGAAAGCCTATGTGCTCTGCTAATGCTATAGTTTGGTTAAAATCAAATTCTGCAAGGAATACTAGGAGTGAAGCTACGTTTACAGAATTTCTTTCACGGAAATAGCCAAAAACTATCGGATTTTGCAACTAATACTATGTGATTTGTTGCTATCAAAAACTATTTTTGGAAATAGCCAATCACAAGTAATTCTGTGCAAAATTTTTTTGTACACTTAGAATAATCTATCACTAGTAATTTTTAAATAACGATAGGAGGCTTCATGAAAGCCAGTAAATGCATCATCCTGACTTTAGTTTTTGTCCTTAGTTTTTTTTACAGATTTTGAAATATTCCAAGGATGGATTTAATGATGTATTTTGTAAGGTTGATCTGTCAATATTATGTAAACTTTGGAATTAAAAAAAAAAAGAGTAAAATTTTATTCATTATAGTGTTCAGTCATATCTAATTATATGCACCAAATGTACACCAAAAGTTAAATAAAGTGAATTTATGCTTCAACAAGTGGTTGAATTTCAAGAAGCATTCATACTCGGTAGATGTTTTAGAAATAAACAGGTAGAAAAGGATCACTTTCCATGTGTTCTACAATAGTTGGACTGAGGCAAATAATCTAGACTAGACAGTAGGTATTGGATGTTGCAAATGTAAGTAACTTGACACATATATAATTAATTGGTCGACTTTGCCGAGGTCAAGATGCACGTGCAATGCAATAATTGAATATATAGTAGCGTAAAAAAAAATATGACAACAATTTGTTGAGCTTTGTCTTTGTTATTACTTGACAAGTTTTAGAGTTGAGGATATCAATAATTTTTTTATTGATAAATGTAAAATTTTATAAATAAAAACTTCAGTACAAACACATCGAACAAGGTAAATAGAGATTCGTATAGACATTAACAAAGTTTGAATTGAAAAAAAAGAAAAAAAAAATTATTTATATCATAAAACGAAAAAAATTTAAATTTTTTTTAAATAGAACAAAAAAATTATTTATAAGATGAAGGAAAAAAGAAATTTTAAAACAATTTTCAAAAAAAATAATAATAAATTAAACAAAAGAAAGTTACGAAAATTAAATAAAGAATATATAAATAATATTTAATTAAAATTGAGAAAAATAAGTTTTACCATAAATATAAAAGAATTTTGAAAAAAATTTAAATCGAAAAAAATTATTTATAATAAGAACAAAATAAATTTAAAAAAATAAAAAAATAAAAATAAATGAGGAACAAAGAGAATTTCTCCATGTTATGAAAAGACTCCATTTTTTTAAAATTTATTTTGTTCATATTATAAATATTTTTTTTCGATTTAAAATTCTTTTTAATTCTTTTCTCTTTATGATAAAACTTAATTTCTTCAATTTTAATTAAATAATATTTATACATATTCTTTATTTAATTTTCGTAACTTTCTTTTGTTTAATTTTCGTCCCTTTATATCATCCAATCCATAAAAAGTATTTTCAGTATTGATTTCCTGCACATTATCAGTATCACCAACACCACAATATCAGACTAGTGATGGATAAAACATCAGAAATACTTCTATGTTATACTCAAAAAGACACACCGGAGAAGTAAAACAGTCAAATTGACACCCACAGCCATATTATGAGTGGCCATGCGCAGTAGGAGACTATAATCATAAACATCTTACAATAAAGTTTTTCTTACTCGTAAATTTGAATCTTTTTAGGCATGAAGAACAACTAACGATACCAGCCAAAATTTCTTAGTAATATCCCTATACTTGCAGCTAACAAGTTCTCCATTCCTTCGATAGGTGAAAGCAATAGCAATCTGTATAGAAATCTCTATCAAACGTTCTTCCCGAGAAATTAGCAATTAAATCAAATTCAACTTACTAGATTATAATAGTTTCAAAGAGTCTAAACAATGTTTCTGACACCCCTCTTCGTCTCTCTAAAGTCTGTTCCCCTGCCCCTACTCTTCTTTCAGGAGAAAGGCAAACGGCCCAAGGTCCAGGAGGGATGTGGATACAATGGAAATGGAAATGTAAGTACTTCCATGGCTAGAAATAATTCTTTAGCATCTCAAGACAACCTCGTGATTGCACACAAATATACATGAACATTTCTGAAAATTAAACATCATCTGCACCTGGGTGCCTCTTCTTTTTTGCATTACAGAGTTTCTCTGCAGTGTTTCCCCAGATATCATTCGCTCAGCAAAAAATGCAAGTAGCTGAAACAACAGTTAGAGAGCATCTACAAGGTTGAATATCTCTGTCCAATATAGAGAAACCACAAAGGGAACCGGTGAAGAATCATAGACAGGGAACAAATGGTAGACTTTAATCTTAACAAGAAAAGAGGCACAAAATTTTGCACTGCCAAACATTCAGCAAGGTGGCAAGGTATTACAAAACATATACATTCAAAGTTCATTAAGATTCAACAACAATGGGATCAATCAAGAGATTAAACAGAAGAAAATCCACAAAATTTGGAATTTAATGTAAACTGTACAAGGCTTTAATTGTTCACTGATCATTGACAAGTAGTGCATGTATTGGTTTCATATGATTGGCTGGCATTCAGGTTTCCACGAAAGTTCTATCTCTTGGTCACACCATGCACTCAGATTTTATTAAGTTGTCAAAGTCCACATTTGATTCCTTGTCACTGAAAAAAAAGGGAAGTTTTGTTCTGGTCACAGGCTGCTCAGAGAGCATTCCTCAATCTCAATTATCAGAAAACATGCTTGCTTGAAACTATAATCTATAGATCATAACAGCAGAGTTTGGTGATTACTTCTTGAACAGATTTGAAACAACACTAGCAAAAAAGAGATTCTACTAGCCAGTTGTTTGTATGGGTAATAATGTCCAGACATATATAACAAATTAATGATAAATACCTCGTTGCACAAAGGTTCCAGTTCCAGACTCTCTTCTGTGATTTCTCTGAATGGTTGTTTTGCTTTGGTGATTCTACTCATTTTTGCATAAGTAGATTTTACATCAGCAAAGGCCTTCAAGCAAAATAAGCACTAGATCACATGAATCATGCACCATTGGTAGTGAGTTAAGTGACTTCATTTGAAGCATACCCTTGTAGTGCCACTCCACCCACATTTAGCCCGAAAGCAGGTCCACATTGCTGCAGCACTATGACGTACAGGTGTATATTACTATACTTCTGTTAAAAGAAACGGAAAACACACAAAACAAGGTATAATAGGAAACTTACCCATCTTTTGTGATGTGGAGAGATAAACTTTTCTCTTCCGAATACCCACCTTTGCACTGCAAAGTCCACAATGAGGAAAATCAAGACAATGGAACCAACAACTAAAATGAGCATGCACTGGTATGAATAGTTCTGGCTATCTGAAATGCAGTCTCGTAAACAATTATATGGTTTCAGCTGTTGTTAACTATTATAACTTATGAAGAAACAGAATTCTTCTGCAGCATTGCCGATCCAAATGAAATTAACTTAATTACATCTCTGTTGGCATGCTTTCTATAGTTCTAGTTGAAGTGATTGACATAGATACTGTATATAATACTTGTCTCTTCATACATAGTGATAGCAAAATGTTAGTTACTAAAATCGCAATATTGTTATAGCTGAATAAACTGAAACATGACAAGTCTCTACGCAAAAGAATATTTAAAAGCATGTACGCTTGGACGTATTAAACCCTAGTATTGCCCTGGCTTACAAACATCTCCGTAAATCCCGATATCCTCCAACTTCTGCTTTAACATCCTCAACAGCTCTGACTCTAGCACTTGCTGCTCCGGGGTCTCCAAAACGACTCCAGAAACTAGACCAAATCAAATAAAATCATTCTTCAAAATCCATTAAAAACAGAACACACAAACCAAGCCACGTCCTATAATCTTCAAATAGTGGCACCAATTCTATGATGCTGTGATGTAGTTTTGTGATATCGCATTTCTGTTTCTCTTTCTATCAATTTCAAATGAAGTTTTTTTCAAACAACGCCAAGAATTCGGCTTTACCTATTTTTATCCAACTTGTGTAATACCCGCAAAACTTAAGTACCAAATTAGATAAACAAACTTTATGCCAAATGAGTTTTGAAAGAAAGAAAATTGCTTAAAAGCAACGCTCTAAAAATGTTCTCTCTGCTTAACTAGTTGTACCTTCGTCGGGCATAGTCAGTTTTCAAACATTAATAAGGCAGCAAATATTTTTAAAAGGGAACAAAACAACAAAAAATAGAATAAAAAACCTGGTCTGGGAATAGGCATGGCGGCATTGAGGTAATAACTCAACCCAGAGCTCATCCGATGAAATGGAGATATGGTTTTCGAAGATGTAGAAAATGCTATATTTTTCCTGTGAATAAAAAATAACCGAGGTTGCGAAGTTGAAGAAAAATGGGCCGCATCTTTACTTGTATGCGTTACCGGCGTGAGTGTAGACGTAAGAAGGAGCAAGTGTTTGGAGCCCATCAAAATTGCTCTGTTGTAGTGAGAATTCGTGTTCAGAAACAGTCTTCTCTGAGGTAAAAGAAGCATGTTTCGAGTTGCAAGGGTTTCTTGTTAGCAACAGGAAGAAGAGGAAGAGGAAGAGGAAGAAAATGCTTGAATTTCCATGGATGAGAGAAAAAGCAGAAAGAAATGGTTTAAAGAAGGGCATCACCAAATTTGTACTCTTTTCGGCGACTGGTTTTGCGACTTGTCTCTTCGTTTCTGCCTTCTTGAGAATGAAATAACACTTCCAAGTTTTTATAAGCGTGTTTGGAATATAAGGTTCGAGTCACGTTCTTCTAAAAAGTCATTTTTTTTAAAACGCATTTTTCAACTACATATTTTTAATAAAATAATATTACACACAAATTTAAAATTTTTTTCTTAATTTTTAACCACACATCCTCTATCAATCTACTATTTAAAATGCATTATTTTCCCCGAAATGAGGCTCAAACAAGGATGTTGGGTATGAATCAATTTTCTTTAGCCCATGTTTGGCTCTCATTCCTTTTCTCTCTCTTATTTTTAACCACACAGTCTTCCATAAAATAATATTACGCGCAAATAAAAAAATTTTCATTTTTTGAACTACACATTTTTCAAAAAACGCTATTCCAACTATTAAAATTTGAAAAAAATTGAGGCCAAATGGGGGCTTAATTTGTGTTTGAGCTACATTGTTTCTAAAGAATGTATTTTGAAATAATAAATTGCTAGAGAATGTGGTTTTAAAAGATAATGAAAAGTTTTGGATTTACGTAAAATATTATTTTATTGAAAAATGTATCGTTAAAATGTGTTAAATCACTGTTTAAAAATGTATTTTTTTTTTCAAATAATGTGGCTCAAACAAGGCTTGATTTACTTTTTATATATTTTCTTATTTCTAAATGTTTTAAGTCACATGCTCTTCTCTTACTTACAAATAAAATGCTAGTTGATTTGACCAGCTTTTACATTCAAATCAAGTAGCGCGTGTCAAATTTTTATTCAAAAATAATTTATTTATTTTAAAACATATTTTTACTTACAATTAAATATTTTTAATTTTGCTAAACACACACTAGTAGTATTCGTTTTTAGTCTTGCTGGAGTGACAGAAAATTTGGCCAGAATTTTGGTGACAGACCCATGTGGTGCCCCCTATTCGTCAGACGCCCCACCAATAGGGGGCGCCGCATGGGCCTGTCACTAAAATTCTGTCCAAATTTTCCGTTTGAGTAGTTTTATTGATTCATTTTTTAGGTCGGGCAGTGTAACCCCATGGAGACTGGAAAAAATTGCATAAACCAATAAAATTCTGAAATCAGGTTTATTTGGCCCTAGCCCCGCCTAAAATTTTCTTTTTCTATGGTTTTGGAATGGGGGTATAAAGCTTATTTAAATCAAACAGTAGCAACAACAGATGAAAACTATCTCAAGCTTAGAAATAATAGAAGTAATATGTGTTACCTTTTTTTCACTTTTAAATAAAAAGTTACTTACTTTGATAATAAAACTAAAGGTATACGAAGTAGGCAACAATGAAAAATGAAGATGTTTTAAAATTATCATGCGTTCAAGACATAATCTTTTTCACATATAAAGCCATATATAATTTGTCCCTTTTAAAGATATGTAACATTTCCACATTTAACAATATGTGTGGGGCACAAAATTGACTATCTTGGACTCAGTTCACCCATTGATGCTTCATTTATAGTTTGGGGTTCGTTGGGGCCTATCTCATTTGTCATGCTATCTGATCCACTCCTAATAAAAAATGCAAGCCTTCGAGAAATAGATAGTGTGTTTGGGTAACTTTCAAGCATGGTAAATATAGATGACATTGTTGATCTTTTATTGACATCTTCTTCAACACACAATAAGCCAATTTGGATACATCGAATGATATCATTCAAAACACAAGACTTGCAAAGTTGGATCCATCTATTTCAAGGGCACACCATTTCTCTGAAGCTTCCAAGCCTGGGCAAGCAAAACTAGCCTTATAGATAAAATCATTTAAAAACTTAACTTTAATCTTATTTATTCTCTATTCGATAAAATCATTTAAAAACTTAACATTAAAGTCAAATAAAAGCCTTTAAAAAATTAAAAAAAAGTTAATAAACTAAAGTCAAATATTAGGTTTTAAAAAGGTAAAATGATTAATAAAGCGCGTCGACACGTCGGTGCGCCTAGTCGTGCATTAAACGGTCAACTTAGCAAACGATCGATTAATTCGCATTTACTAAAAAGAAGAGGCACTTTTTAGAACAATGCCTTTTATTTTTAAATAAATTAATGTATGTCAAACTTTTATTTAAAATTAATTATTTTAAGACATGATTAGTTTTAATAATTTATGCTTCGCCAAACCCACACAAAGGAGTATTCGATCTTCGGGTCGAGTAACATAACTTGCGTACACCAAAATATTTTTTGAAAATTAGGTCCATTCGGCCCTAGCTCGCCTCATTTTCTTTTTCTAAGTTTGGGAATGGGGTAAAATGCTTATTTAAATGAAACGGTTGCAACAACAAATCAAAACTATGTCAACCTTAGAAATAATATAACTTACATTTTAAGTGACTTTTTTTTATTTCCATACGCGTGTTATCCTTTTTTACTATTTTTGACAGTAAAATTAAAGTATTGAATACGAAGAGGCTATAATGGAAAATTAAGGTATTTTAAGATTATCAAGCGCTCATGATATAATCTTTTACAGATAAAAATCGTACATGATTTGTCCCTTTGGTGATGTCACATTTTCACATCTAACAAAATGTCAACAGCACAGAATCAACTATCTTGGACACAATTCATTAATTGATGCTTCATTTATAGATTGGGGTTGGTTGGGTTCTCTCTCTTTTGTCATGCTATCTGATCCACTCGAAATAAAAAATGCAGGTCTTCTAGGAATAGGCAGTGTGTCTGAGTAACTTTCGAGCATAGGAAGTATTGACGACATTGTTGGTCTTTTATTGACATCTTCTTCAACGCACAATAAGCCAATTCGGATGCAGCGAATGACTTCATCCGAAACAAAAGACTCTTGCAAAGTTGGATCCATTAATTCCAAGGGTGCACCATTTCTCCAAAGCTTCCAAGACTAGGCAAACAAAACTAGCCTTATAACCTCTTTGATCAATTTAGAAATTTTATTCGTATTTACTAATAACATGTTTTAATATGAACATTTAAGTATCCGAATTTACAAGTGAAATTGAAACTTTGCACTCACATAGCTTATAACGTCTCTTCTACCATGTGATTTGTAAAAGCCGTTACTCTTCTTGCCACTTATGATTTCCAAGATTAGGATGCCAAAAGTAAAAACATCAGATCTTACTGAGAATTGACCGTGTATTGCGTACTCCGGTGCCATGTAACCACTACAAGACATAAACATGATTCCACGTCTTAAGTGTAGATAAATGTAGGTACACATAACAAATATAAAGTAGAACTTACTATGTGCTAGCAATTCTGATTGTATTTTTTTGAGATTGATCAACATAAAAAATCCTCGCCATGCCAAAATCCGATATTTTCGGGTTCATGTCTTTGTCTAAGAGTATATTGCTAGCTTTGAGATCACGGTGTACAATTTTAAGACGAGATTCTTTTGAAGGTAAATCAATCCTTGTGTTATTCCCCTATGATCTTGTAACATCTTGACCAATCCAAGAGCCTTTGTTTTTCCGGATCTTTACATCCATTAAGGAAATGCATCAAGTTAATTAGCACCGATGTGAATAACTCAAATTTTGAAATTCAAATGCAGGTTTATTGGCTGTGAATACAGGGAAGAAAAGCAATATTCACATTGATACTAACCGAATAGAGAGTAATCAAGACTTTTATTTGGCACAAATTCGTATACGAGAATCTTCTCTTCTCCTTCCAAGCAAAATCCTAGTAGCCTTACTAGATTCATGTGTTGAAGCTTGGCAACGAGTATGATCTCATTCTTAAATTCTTTTGCACCTTGTGCTGAACTCTTAGAAAGTCTCTGCAGAGCCATCTCTTGTCCATTTGGAAAGGTACCCTACAAGCATTATTTAGTAAACGATATTAGACAATACTCCATGAGGGATAATTCCCACATTGGTTAAAGTGACAATGTGCATGGGCTTGGATGACTCCTTTTAACAATGTTTGACCGTAAGATGAAATTTCTAGTCTTAATACTATACATTTAACTTCACCAAATTAGCTATATGTTTATGTAATGATCCAAGGAAGTGTGAATGCAAGGTAGTAATGAAATAGATAATTATATGATGCCGTACATATATAAACTATATTCCTTAAATTACCTTGTACACATCACCAAATCCACCCTCTCCAATTTTATTGTCAGCAGAAAAGCTGGTACTGGCAAGTTCAATTGTGTTTAACTCATATTGCAGGGATTCAACTGTCAAAATTTCTTCTTCTTCCACACGCAAAAACGGCAAATCCGTAAAAAAAAAAATTCATACAGTTGGAACGAACGTGCAGGACAAGAAGAAAACATTTTTAGATTTAAATTCTTGAAATTTTATAATAAAGGTGCAAAAGCTAATTTTGACTTTTAAAATTCTTGTGATTCGACATCCTCCCTCCACCTTGAAAATTCTATCAGAATAAAACTAAATGTTGGGCCCCTGGATTTGGCCGTCTTTAAACCTGTCCAAACTGCACCCTTCTTTTTCCAACGTCCACTCAATTGCTTCTCTTCATGGATTTTGAAATTTAACCCACTCAAAAATAAAATAGGATAGACCATGAATATCTGATGGTATGTTTGGTAAGGTTGATCGAACAATATTAAACGACATTTAAGAAGAGAAATAAGTTGTGTTACTGTTCATACAGAATGACCCACGTGGAAGTTCCATCTTCATACACCTGCAAGGTTCAAGAAGGGTTGTAGAAGATGTCAACAGCCAAAGTTGTTACATTGAATGCCGAGGTCGTCTCACTAGGACTCTCCGAAGTGGTTCCAACTTTTGTTCGTCCGAAGTGGGATTACTCCTTCTCTACCGAGCCCCATAGTTTCCGAAGCCCTTGACACACAAAAGGGATCTAATTAGCGCATCTTTGGAATTGATTGATGTGACGTTCTCATTAAATAAGTATTAGGAATGTCAGCTTAGGTATCTGTCATACAATTAATGTGAAATAGAGTTGATGTGACACTAGGGTCTGGCAGATCAGACTACGTGGATCCAATGGTGACCACGTCGGC